TTTTTTTTCTGCCACTCTATGTCTCCTCTTCCTCTTTGCTCTTCTAGTCTAATACCTTCATAACCAATCCTCTATATTAAATTCCCTGTTTGAAATACCCAGGGTGGTATGTTTTCCTAACTCAACTCCAGCTGATATATCACTCTCCCATCCCCCACAGCTGGGCTTTAGGAATTCTAGATAGGACTTCTGGGTGCCAGTCTTTTGATGCTTATACACATGGCAAATATTTTCTCCTAATCTGTAATATTGCAGTATCCTAGTCTTAACTTTGTCTATGGTGCCATCTGTCACATGTAATCCACTTTTCTTTGTGGTCTATGTTTACTGTTTAAGTAATGATTCATCTGCAAAAGTGCCTTAGCTATTCTTGGTCCTTTGTTCACCCATGTAACTGTCAAGTTCTACAAAAATCTTAATGGGATTTTGACTTGATTTTGCATTAAATACACACACACACACACACACAAATACACATACCATTCTGAGGCAGGACTCCCACCTTTATAATAGCAATCATTTTTTCATTTAATCTATAAATATGAGATTATAAGATTACATGACTACATTTCCTACTGCTAAACCATCCTTGCATTTCTGGTATCAACTCTATATAGTCATTTAAAAATATGTATTTCTAGATTTGGTCTAGTATTTTACTTTAGATTATTTCATAAGTAAGACTGACATAATTTTTTTCTCTATTCTTGTCTGGTTTTGCTACCATGCCGATTTTATATATCAGCTGTTTCTAGTCTACATAAAAGTATAAAAGATAGAACATGAACGTCTGTGTCCCCTCAAAATACACACGTGAAATCCTAAAACCCAATGTGATTAAACCCTTTGAGAGGTGATCAGGTCATCAGTGTGGAGCCCTCATGAATGGAATTAATGCCCTTATAGAAGAGACCCCGAAAGCTAAGTTGCTCTTTCTACCATGTGAGGACACAGCGAGAAGACAGCTGCGTTATGAACTGGGAAGTGGGCCTCACCAGAACCCATCTATGCTGGCATGTTGATCTTGGGACTTCCAGCCTCCAGAACTGTGAGAAATAAATTTCTGCTATTTATAAGCCACCTAGTTTACTATATTTTCTTATAGCAGCCCAGACTAAATACAACATGTGCTAAAATGGAAGTCAAACTTGACCATCTAGCCTTTGTATGTATCTGTTCTACAACATCCATGCGAAGCAGCCAACTAGCCCCTGCTTAAATATTTCATTCTGCATGACTATGCCCAGGGGTGACTCATTCTATTCTCAAATGACTTAAATTTTAGACTTCAGGGGCGCCTGGGTGGCTCACTCAGTTGAGTGTCTGCCCTTGGCTCGGGTCATGATCTCGGAGTCCTGGGATCAAGCCCGGAGTCGGGCTCCCTGATCACTGGGGAGTTTGCTTCTCCTTCTCCCTCTGCCCCCACCCCCTTATCGTGCTCTCTCTCCAATAAATAAATAAAATCTTTATAAAAAATTTTAGACTTCAGTCAATTTTTAGAAACTTTTTTAGGAACTTCAGCTGATGATTAAATGATGCACAATTAATCCAACATGAATCCTACAAAGAATCACACAAAACTTATACTAAGCTGATATTTGCCCATTTGTTAACTTCTCCTCACTGGTCTCAGTTCTCACTGGCCTCTGAGAACTAAATAGTCCCTATGCCACTTGACAACCCATTAAATAATTGAAATATCTTAAAATATATTAAACTGAGGTCAAAAGAAATTTACCCATTAGACTATATACATATACTCACATATGCAAAAAATTACAGACAAGCTATCTCCTGTCTAGTAATTATGAGGATTTAGCTTCTGAAAGAGAATGAAGTTCAGAAAGGGATATTTAGGAATATTCATCATAAAGACCTTCTTAAACATTTCAGACTGAAAGAACTAAGGGGAACAGAACCATCTTGCCCTGAGTGTGACTATAACTTAACTTTCGTATCCCAAGCACCTTGCAGAGGTCCCTGAACGCTTTGAGGACTAAATGAAAGTAAAAATGAGCGACTGAGATCTTTCTGTGTGCCACACACAATGCCAAGTAATATATACACAGTATTATCTTATAAAATCCTCCACCATTTTGGAGGTTGCCTAGCACTACAATCCTCATTTTACTTCTGAACAACTTGAAGGTCAAAAGGATTAAGTAACTTTCTCAAGGTCAACAAATTAGTGAACAATGAGGCCAGAATTCTCACTCAGGCAAATATGGCTCCTAACAGTTCTCTTAGCCATTTTGCCCCATTTGCTTCTTAGTCATAAATGAAAATACACATAATTCGGCCAAAAAGAGTAAAGAAAACTAAAACTTTCAAGTCTTCCTGAAAGGAATTAATTCAATACTAGCACTAGAATTTCTAAATTAGGAATAAAATTCTCACAGAAAAAAAATTTTAAGAAAAACAACATTGACTAGAAAAAGATGACAGATGCTAACTAAGAAATGTCCTTAAATATTTCCCTACCATTTGTCAGGTCTTTCTGTTTGAGCCCAGCATGCTAAAGGGATTCAGTACAGTGACATTACAGTTCCTGAACTTCAATTAAAACCATTCTCTTAAATACAACTCCTCCAAACTTATCATAATCGAACAGAATACAAAATATAAATTTCCTCTTCCTGGTAATCACATAATCTTAAAAATATGTACTTGAATAATCTTCCTACATTTAAAAATCAGTATTGCTTATAAGGCTAAAAAGACTCCAGTAGAGCAAAATGCAGAATGTATACATCATAAAAACGTTTTGAACTAAGTATACTAATCTAATAATTACAGCTTTTAAAGTACTGTATAGCTTTTACTAGGGCAATATTTATATAAACCAAAGTTCAAATCACTTAACAACTTTGAGTATTTTTACCATATTTCAAACGTTGCTGGTAGGGAGAAAGAGAAAGGAAGTGAAGGGTCTCAGAAAAGGTAGAAAATCAGCCCAGAATACAGGGTTCATGAGAGGACCTGAAATCATGTAGCTCAGTTCTCTAATTTTATAGGAAGAAACTGAGAACTACAGAAACTTGGGGACTTGGCAAAAGCAGCAAATTAGTTTTTTAAAAGTGGTGCTTAATCTAATGACCCTGACTGACAGTGAAGCCTTTGAGAACATCTTTAAAATATGGCATCAGGGGCGCCTGGGTGGCTCAGATGGTTAAGCGTCTGCCTTCGGCTCAGGTCATGATCTCAGGGTCCTGGGATCGAGTCCCGCATCGGGCTCCCTGCTCCTTGGGGGCCTGCTTCTCCCTCTGCCTTTCTCACTCGCTCTGTCTCTCATGAATAAAAAAAAAAAAAAAAAAAAAAAACTTAAAAAAAAATAAAAATAAAAAAAAATAAAAAAATAAAATATGGCATCAGGGCAGATCACGTTGACAGAACAAATCAAGTGCCACAACCAAAAAATACCCCAAAGTCAGACGCCCCACCGTGTCCCCTTCAAAATAATGTTGTTTTTGCTATCAGCGAAGCTTCAACAGATCTTCCAGTCCCTTTATTGGTAGTTGGCGACAAGGTGCTGAATGACCGTTTGTCAAATTTAGTGACACCATTCTAGGCTCTTCCTAGCTTATGTTGGCTCATCATCATTGTACAGTTCATACTACTTAATTAACTGTAAAACATTTGATGACTTTTTACAAGTCTTGACCTTTTTTTGTGATTCCATAACACAAGCCTCAGACCTTACGATTTGCATCCTTCCTATGGAAATTATGACATTTTTCTCATTAAGCTTTCAACATCTCAAGCTGATATTTTATTTTTTACATGTTAATTTCATGTTCCTTGAAATAGAATGTGAATTCTCTGAAGGTGGGCACTCTCCAAGGCTTACCACTTATCTTCCGACTACTTTTCCACAGAATATGCCGGTTTCTCTGATTATTGACCAGCAAACCGAAGTTGGGATATTTCTTAAGAAATGACTGTGTAACTCCACTTTTTAAAGATTAGTTACACAGAACATAAGAAACTACACTTATTCAAGTATGATGGAGGAAGAAAGGTCTGACTTTTCATTAACAGAAGTTTTTAATCTGGGGTCCAGAGAAAGAATTCAGTGACCTGTGAACTTGGATGGGAACCTTTTCACTAACCTCTATGTGAAGTTTTGCAATTCCTTCAATCAAGATTATAGGCAACAAAGCACCGTAGTATCAGAAACACCTATGAACTTATCATCAATAGAAATCACAGGTATTTTCATATTATACTACAATTACTGCAAACTTATCACTTTAAAATTACAGTATTTAGCAGAATTGTTGCTAAAGCTTATTCTCTAATGTGAGAAGCATATATTACTCTATCAAAAATTTATATTTTTAATATTTGTTAGCTATATTTCAATATAACTAATTTCCTTGTTAATCTTATGTGTTTTACTTCATAAAATCATGAATCATTTTTAGAATCATTATTCTGGGAAGGGATTCACAGGCTTCACCAGATTACCAGAGGTCCATGGCACAAAAAAAAGGTTGAGAACTCCTGCACTGACATACACAGAGCAGGTGAGGTAATTACAATCCCAAAACCATCGTGATAACGGTCTTATCAGTTCTAGTAAAATGACAGGCAAGTTTTGAAATGTAAATATCTCTTTTTATAACTAGGAAGAGCACAGAAAGAGATTTTAAGCTGATCATTTTCACTTGAAGAACACAAAATATACCTACAGAAAAACTGCATTTTCAAATACCCATTAACTTGTTATAATTAAAACAACTACAGGATTATAAATGTTTAAGTACTCAGGACCCCTGTATCAGTAACTTTTGTGGTGGCTATTGTGTTCTTCTAAGACTTTTTCAAGAGGACCAAAATCAGTAACAGCTAGAATTCTTATTGAAGAAAGCATGTAAAAGTGTCTTCCTTTCTAGCAAATATATATTAAACAACTAGAATTATGGGTTAGACCTTTCCTGTTTAACTATACTGGTGATAACTAAAATGACTTAAAAAGGAATTCAAAGAAAAACACATACCTCTCCTACTGAAAGAAAGCTGTAAAAAAAAAAAGTTCTAATTAATTTACATTTTCCCCACTACTTCCTATTCTAAGAAACTAAACAGAATTGGATATTTCCTAAAGATATTTTTAGCAGTTCAATATTATATACAGAACATCTTCCTTAAATTATATTGAGCCAATGTAGTTTTTTAAATCATAACTTTTCATTTTTATCTGAATTATCATTTCCTCCAAAGACATATTTACCTTCAGCCAGTGCTGGTGATTCTGTTCTTGTCCTTCTATCTGTTTAAAGAAAGAAAAAAGGAAGAAAGTCTAAAACATTATTATACTTTAAAACATGTTTAATTTTATTAAAACTGACTTTAATAAAGTTTATGAATGCCATCACATATCACATACATATGCTATACACACTTGTGTGTGTATGTATATGAACAGACATATACCTCCTTGAATTAAATCAACAACTATTTATAAAGAACCTACTAAGAGTAAGCCATTACGTTAAGCCCTGGGAAATACCAATAGGCTTAGATAAGACACCCTAACTGCCACCCTCAAGACACTCAAAGACTACAATCTCTATCAAGAGAAGTACATAGTTCTCATCATATCATACAGCAGGAACAGCAAGGGAAGAAAATTTGTAACTCGTCTTTATTCTTGTAACAGGGGCCTAAAATTACCAAAAGAGATACACTTCTATACTATTATCATAGTTTACGTTCATTTCCTTTCAATGTATTAAAAGTACCAGTTTTGCTAAAGGTACTAAGATCCTTATATTCCATGACAATAACCTATTATTTGCCAGAGGTACATCTGGCAAAACTCAAGTGAACCACGAAGTCCTCTGTAGGACTGGTTTACTAATACTACTATGGTATTTGCAAATCCTAAAACATTTTAGGTAAAATTAAATCTTCAAAATGATTTTATTCTAACTTTACAACAGAAGCAACTACAGCCACTACAGCAAACTAGCTGAGCTGACATACAGTGGGGGGACAATGACGAATGTAACTACTCACCTTTACATAAAAATTTCTTTCCCTAATTGTTTATGACCAGAGTCCTGGACTTAGCAAACATACAATTTCTATGTGCTTAGTCACATTTAGAGGGGACGGGGCACTGCCTTCCAAGATGGTAAGTGATCTCTTATACTGTCTTCTAAAGGCTGAAATGTGGTGCTGTGTCTCTGACAGATAAAGGAGGGAGGGATGGAGGAAAAAGTCCTGGAACCAACACATGGAAATAGGATTGACAACCTTCAGGTTCATTGGATTAGAAATTCTGATAGTGGGGGAGGAGAAGAGTGGTTTCTGCCAGAAGACACAGAAGTATTCTGAAGCAACTATCACCTGGTTATCTTGGACTCCTTACTGGACCAGCATGCTAAGGAAAGGGTTACCATATTGTGGAGTCCTGTGAAGTGACCCTAACAACAACTTACGGCTGCTGCCACACAATGGGGACAGGAGGAAATCTATCCAGAACCTAGGGGATTCGACTGGGGCTGCCATGCTCAATAATAACTATAAATGAGCAGCTGCAACAATTACGACCCAACAATGATAAATCAACTACAGGCACTGATCCCTTGGAGAAGGTCTGTGTCACTGAACCAGGACAATGCCTTGACCTGTTCAAGTGCTGGCTGAAGGTAAGGCAAATCTAGAATGAGTGGTAGAGGACTGCAAAAATGAACATTATTCCACTAGCCCTGCTATTATAAGTCTACTGTAGTGGTTGTGGCCAGCCACCATCTTGAAAACTTTGCAGTAGAATGGACTAAATGGCAAGTGCTTAATGGAACATACAAGGCTGTATGGGATACCTCTAACACGCTGCCTCACAATTTCACTCCAGCTGAGGCACCTCCCCTTAGCTACACTACTGGGGCTCACTTTCTGCTCACGGGCTTTGCTCTAAGAGATGCTTACAGGAACTCCTCAGCCATCCTGGAATATACGAACCCCGACCTGGGAGTGTGAAGATATTAACATCAACAACCTATGAGTAACCCCTGACCACTGGGGAACAGGATCTGGTATATAAATACCCCCTCCTTCCCATCCAGAGGTATATACTTCATGTCTTCTCAGAGGACTTCCTCAGGATCAAGCCCCAGGTACTCAGAGATGTGACCAGGTCGATCACAGACCCTTGCACTGACTTTCCTTCCTCCCTGTTTCATGTGCTCCAGTTCTCCAACTTCTCTTTCTTTTTTTTTTTCCTTAAGATTTTATTGATTTATTGAGAGAGAGAGAGAGAAATATTGAGAGAGGGAGAGGGAGAAGCAGGCTCCCCACTGAGCAGGGAGCCTGATGCGAGGCTTGATCCCAGGACCCCGGGATCATGACCTGAGCCGAAGGCAGACGCTTAACCGTGTGAGCCACCCAGGCGCCCCGCCAACTTCTGTTTCTTGTTAACAGGTTCCCAAATAAATGATCTGCCTAAAAAATCCCTTTCTCAAGCTCTGCTTTTGGGATGAAACCAGGTCAGGACACTTGTCCTTTGGGACACCATACTCCCTTCCTTTTCATTCTAACTCACTGGATGCTCTTTCTTAATCTCTGTTGCTGAACTTCTCTCAGATCCCCAAATGCTGATGTGCCCAGAACACAGTCCTAGGTCCTCCACTCCCTTTGTGATTTCATTTCATGGCTTTATGTATCAACTACATATCTCAAATTTACTTACCCAGTCTAGACATTTGTCTCCATCTCCTAGCAACTGCCTACTCAGTATCTCCTCTTGGATGTTTTAATAGATACCTCAAACTTAACATGTCAAAACTAAACTACTCATCTTCCCTCTCCAAACCTATCTACCTAGTCTCCCTTAACTCAGTTGATGGCATCTCTATTCTTCCAGTTGCTCAGGTAAAAACCTTGGATTCCTCTGCAACTACCTTCTAACACATCCCAAATTCCACTACAGCTCTCTCTACCTAAAGTCTTCACACTTACCATTCTATCTTCTGTTAACTCAAAGTGGAGGGTTCAGCTGCATTAGCAGTCTTAGGTCTACTATTACTTCTTAATCCAACAGCCTCCAGGGGCTGCAAAGTTAAATGCATCTGGGTTGGGTGGAGCCGCATTAGAAGGGCTACCTAGAGCAAACAAATGTCTATGCTTAATCTAAGGGGTGCCATGGCTATTAACATGCCATGTTAAAAACGCAGGTGGATCCAGGGCTGGATATTCAGGTAAAACAATTTTTAGATGTTATCAACTAATTAAGCTTTAGAAATAATCAGTAGGCCAAAAGAAACAGTCTGAGGGTTAATTTTTGTTTGATGAAATGTCAGTTTGCAACTCTTGCTCTAGGATTTGTCTATAATTTATATATTATTAATCCTAATCTTTGCTTTTTTTCTATCAGGTAGGAGATGAATGGGAGCTATTTATGTTCAAAGCCTAACCATTCTGGTTTTCCTCAAAAGCTCCTCTTGGATCAATGTTACTACAAATGGAATGAATAAACACATTTTTGCTTTTTCTGCCAAAAACAAACTTTCTTCCCTAAGGCAGACCAAAGCCACCCAGAAATAAACAAAACAAGTGGCCTAGCTGGCCACTCTCATTAACCAGAGGAGCAAAACCGGTGCCACTTGCATAAATCCACAGGGAAAACTTCTATTCATTTTGCCTGATCCTTAAGAGATCAAGAAATAAGAAAACACTTGTAATTGATTTTACCCTGAGAAATCAAATGTCAGCTCAAAAGTAGTGAATATTAGATAGGACGTAAATTAGATAATCCAGGCATCTAAAATCCGCAAACCTAAAGATTTGCCTCCAGCAAAACATAAAACATAAAAGCTGTGACTTCAGAGCATTCTGTCAACCACATTTATAGCTTTGCAGCATTTAATATGATGACACATAAATCTAACTGGTTATGCAACCTACACTGCATTCCTCCTTCATTTGGGTATATGATAAAATCAAATTCAATTCCATTTGTTTAAGCTCCCCTTGACATACACAAAGCAATCTTAAAGCCATCGGAGAAACCAAAAGAGCACTTGAATTAAAGGGCCTACTGACCGCGTTCCCAGATCAGACAATATTATGAAACTGCATTATTATATAACTCCAGCAAATATCTAAGTTATGTTTATTTTTTAAAAAAGATTTTATTTACTTGAGAGAGGGAGCGTGCATGCAAGAGCTGTGGGGAGGGGCAAGAGTGAGGGAGAAGCAGGCTTCCCGCTGCGCGGGGAGCCTAGACAAGATGTGGGGCTCCATCCCAGGACCCTGGGATCACAACCCGAGCTGAAAGCAGCTGCTTAACTGACTGAGCCACCCAGATGCCCCCTTAGTAAGCTTTAAGAACTTGAAAAGGTTATTCTATATCCATTTGAGAAAAAAATAAACAGGCACGTCTATAAAAAATCTTTTTAAAAACAGAAGAAAAGAACCAGTCCTACATATTAATAATTAAAACTGAGTGGAATTCATACAGATATACAGAGCCAGGGGAAGAGACCAGAGAAATCACAATGGTCCAGTAATAGAAAAAAAAAAAAAACAAAAAACCTCACACCAAGTATTTACTGGAAAGTCTATTATGTATATAGTACCAAAATAAATACCTGAGGAGATGCTAGGATGAAAAAGATTGACTGCACTCTCTAGAAGCATCTACTCTTCCTGTAGCAATTAAAACATTCAAGGTAGGGCGCCTGGGTGGCTCAGTTGGTTAAGCGACTGCCTTCGGCTCAGGTCATGATCCTGGAGTCCCGGGATTGAGTCCCACATCGGGCTCCCTGCTCAGCAGGGAGTCTGCTTCTCCCTCTGACCCTCCTCCCTCTCATGCTCTGTCTCTCATTCTCTCTCTCGCAAATAAATAAAATCTTAAAAAAAACATTCAAGGTAAAAATGAAGTATCATGAGAAAAATCTACAGATAGACCTGTGGCAATTAAAAGAAGATATCTCAGCTAGGGGTAGAGCATGGAAATCGGGTATTGGAAAGATTTTATGAAGCCCCGGGAGCTGAGATAGATTTGAAGAATGAATAGGATTTGGACAAGCAGGAAAAGGAGTTAGAAGGCTCAAAAAGAATATTCCAGATGAGGAATGTATAAAGTAATCACTATAGAGGGCAATGAAGAAAACTTTAATCCTATGAAAAACTGAGATACAACCTTCTCACCCTATACATTCTAGGTGGATTACAATGTAGTTTCTTAAAACTAAATCTCAAAAAAAAAAAAAAAAAAATCTCAAAAATTATACCCTACTTATTTTTAGAGGAGTAATTTGAAGC